GTCTTTGTCTCCTGTTCCTTCTACCTAATTTATAACATACAAACACACATATGCATACACATGCACACAGATGTACACACGTTCGCATGCACGCACACATCCCATACACATGGTGTGCAAACAGTTCTTTTCCCATTGAGGCTCAGAGGGTTTTGCTGATTTTGGAATCCTTGAGTTCTAAGAAAAGGTATAAATGTGTGCCATGATCAGGGTCAGTCTGGCATCCTGTGTCGCCCTGGAGTGATAGGAAGTTCACTCTTTGCCTACTTCACTCTGCCTGAAGTTCCACCACCAAAGATTCATTCATTCTGTTTATCTTCAAAGATCTCTGTCTTCAGAAGTCTCTCCTCCTCTGAAAAAATAAATAGCTGGGGAAGAAACTATGGGTCCCCAGTGCCAGTGGGGACAGAAAGGACCTGCAAGAGAAGGGTGGCCTGGTGAGTGGACGGGGCAAAAGAGCAACCCACAGTCTCATGTCATGCCCAGTCTGCCTGGGCTGTAGAAGAGGCGAGAAATTTCACTTATTTCATTCAACAAGTATGGACTGAGTCCTTATTGTGTGCCAGGGGTCATGCCAGGCACTGGGGATACTGTGGCAAGCCAAACCAGCTGGTTCCTGCCTGTGTGGAGCTATGGTTCACTTGCAGGAGGGTGGGGAAAAATGAACCCAAAAAAATCACACTAACAAACATGTCATTGCAAACCAAGATTAGTGTACTTAAGGAGTGTTCTACAAGAATAGCTCCAAGGAAACAACCTGGACTGGGGCACCAAGAAGCCTTTCTGAAGAAGTGATGCTTAATCCTAAAGAAGAGGAAATTAACTAGAAAAAAAAAACAAAAAAAACCAGGGAAGAGTAGGCATTGCAGGCAGAGGGACCTGCTTGTGCAAAGGCCCTGTAGTATAAAGGCCCACCTAGCACTGCTGTTGTGCATGATCATTAACCTTCAGTAAACTCTGAACTTGAAGGAAAATGTTCCCTTCTAAAAATGGGTTTCCCTTTCCCTTTCCCCTTCCACTTACTCCTGCACTTAAATCAATACCAAGGGACGCAGAGAAGGTAAGCTATGCCGGAGAAAGCCTTAAAAAAACAAAAGTGCAGACAGCAGCTATGACAGCCATTTCCTGTTTGGTATCTCTCACCACAAACCTTCTTAGCCAAATAAATTAGCACAGGAAAACCTTTTGGAGAAGGATGTGGAAGAAACACAGCCTGAGAAACCAAGTAAAAGATCTCATTGGCTTTTCAGAAAAGAGCAAAGGTCTGAGGTAAGAGCCAGAGCCACCAAACTGGAGGGGCTAAAGAAACCCAACAGTGAGTCATTGAGACACTGAGTCCCCGTCCTGTGCTTAACCTGGAGGAAGCTGAGGCCAAGAGAGGACCCGGATCAGTCAATGGCAGGGCAGGCCTTGAAGCCCATCTCTGGGCTCCGTGTCCTATGTTCTCCCCCTGCCTTGCTCCTCTGGTCCCATCAGACAGTAGCTTCTGGCTTTCTTTTATCGGAGGAGGAACAATGGGGTTGGAACTGCCTCTGAGACCACTATAGGTGAAGCTTGGTTGTGCCTTGGGTAGAGGAGCCCAGTGTCCTTGTAATACGAAAAGGGGGATGAGGAGTTGTAGACACCAGGTTTTCTATATTTGATCTTCACAGTGACCCTGGGAGACAAGGACTCACATCTCCATTTTACAAATGAGGAAATAGAGCCTCTGTGAGGAGGGTGAACTCGAGGTAGCACCCAGGTAGAGTGGCAGAACTGGTCTAGTTTGAAAGCCCATACTTTTCTTTCTCCCCCTTTTTCCAGTCTAATTCCTCAAGTTCCCCACCCAGATTGCCAGTAAGCTATACACCACTTCCAACTGTCCCTTCCCTTGGACGGCCTTCTCACACCTGGATAGATGTGCAATGTAGCCCTCTCTGTCACAATGCCCCCGAGAAGAGGCGTGCATTGGTCCCTCTGTCCCATCCCAGGGGCTGGCTGGTGTGTAAACATTTAGGCTGGCACGGGATCCTCTTACTTTGGATGTGTGTCAAATATTTTGTTTTGTATTGATTTGGCTATTCCTCCCAGAAGTTAAAACAGAAAATTTCCAAACTCAAAATCCTACTATTCGCATCCGAACAGCTCTGCATGCTCAATGTTTGGTCTTGTTCTGTTCCAGAAAAGCTCATTCACTAACACACTCCAGGTAACAATAAAGCAGTTTGCAAGGGCATGCTGCTGGCTCTCAGGTCTGGAGGAGGAGGAACACTGCAGGATTCAGTGGCAGAGGTGACTAGTTGTCCTCCAATACCCATTCTCTTTGTCTTTATTTAACAATTGCACTCTCAAATGTTAGCTGAGCACATATCTATCTGCCCAGCTAGAGACGTTTTTCACAGCATCCCTTGCAGCTAGGAATGACCACCGGACAAAGATCTAAACACGGGAATATGCGCACAAGTGATTGTGTCCCTGCTAGTCATGTCATTGAAAGAAATAAGCCTGTGTTTACTCACCTTTTCTCCTTTCTAATGGCTGGTATGTACATGTGATGACAAGGGCAGGAGCAGCCACTTTGGACCCAGGCCTGCTCACCTCTGGGCTGTTAGTGAGGAAAAAAAATCTTCCATTTTGTTCAAGACACTCTATTTTTGGTTCTCTGATTCACAAACTTAAACTGACCCTAAGTATTTATGCATAATGTGAATAAATCTCTAAGTGGGGTACATACCATGAAGCACTTTTCAAGTATATATGACCTTAATACCTATTTCTCAAAACAGTTTAGAAAGGTGCTACTTGAAATACATCTTGTAAAACATTTAAAACACTTTTTTTCAACATTCTCAGAACCCAAGCTGTAACTCAGCCCACAAGCTGTGCTTGTGCCCAGTTATTCACCCAAGAGAAGTTTATAGTACATAAACTACTCTCCCCCCAACACTTCTCTAAAAGAATCCACTTCTTTTCCTCAAACCACTTGCCTTATCCCCACAATAGGCCACATACCCTGCACTTCTAACTATGAGAGTTCATGCTCCAGAAGACCATAAATTAGAGCCTCAATCCCAGAAGAGGTTATAAAAATTATACTGTCAGTTATACTGACACCAGCCACTGGTGTCCTGATTTAAAAAAAGATTTATCCAAAGAAGATAAAGGCTCCCAAGCATGAGCAAGAAACAGTTCCAGGTCGAGAAGTTGTGTTTAGAAAACAAGTCAAGAGCTCATTTGATTGAAAAAGAAAATATGCCCACAGCAAACATCATACTTAAAGATAAAAGCTAAAAGCTTCCCTCTAAGATCAAGAACAAGATGAGGGTATGCCCTCTCACCACTTGTTTTCAACATTGTACTGGATGTTCTAACTAGGGCAATGAGGCAACAGAAAGAATTAAAAAGGCATTCAGATTGGAAAGTAAGAAGTAAAACTATTTCTATTTGTAAATGATATTTGTATGTAAACCCATAAAATAACTAATAGAACTAAAAACAAGTATATCAGGGTTGATTTCAGAGATTTTGATTATTGATTTCAGAGAGGACAAGAGGGAGAGAGAGAGAGAGAAAGAGAGAGAGAGAGAGAGAGAGAGAGAGATCAATGATGAGAGAGAATCATTGATCAGCTGCCTCCTGCATGCCCCTCACCAGGGATCGAGCCTGCCACCCGGGCATATGCCCTTGACCAGAATCAAACCCTTCAGTCCACAGACCAATGCTCTATCCACTGAACCAAACCAGCTAGGGCCATTTTAGAGGTTTGTAAATAGAAAATCATAAATAAGAAAATTATGAACTTTCCTGTTTTTACACCTCTCCCAGCCTCCAAAAAAGGCAGGAGGGAGAGGAGGTGAGCATTGGCTTCTACATGCAAAGCCCACCTGATGGAAGACCTTGCATCTGGACCCTCTGGCTCCACCAAAGCCAGCTGAACATGGGCATTGAGATCAGTACATCAAATCTTCCTTAGCACAGAGATTTGTAAGAGCACCACCAACTCTTCTGGCTGCCCCAAGTTTCCCTCAGATTTAAGTCCTGGATTGTGAGTGAAACTGATATTTCCCTTAAACCAAAGGAGAGAGCCCATGATACCTAAAAATAGATGCTAAGATATGAAGATAGGCTAACAGAGATAGAAGAGAAACTCAACTTCCATCAAAGCCACAATTCTCAAATTAAAATTTCCCATTAATCATACATTTTCCTCTAGAATTCAGAAATGAGTTTCAAAGTAACATTTTAAGCCATAGCTGGTTTGGCTCAGTGGATAGAGTGTTGGGACTGCAGACTGAAGGGTCCTGGGTTTGATTCCAGTCAAGGGTATGTACCTCAGCTGCAGTCTCCTCCCTGGCCCGGCAGGAGGCAACCAATCGATGTGTTGCTCTCACATCAATATTTCTGTCTTTCCCTCTCTCTTCCACTCTCTCTAAAAATCAATGGAAAAAATATCCTCAGGTGAGGATTAAAAAACAAAGTAACATTTTAAGTTTACCATCCTATTGTCTAGTACAGTGGTCGGCAAACTCATTAGTCAACAGAGCCAAATATCAACAGTGCAACGATTGAAATTTCTTTTGAGAGCCAAATTTTTTAAACTTAAACTACATAGGTAGGTACATTGTTATTAACTTAATTAGGGTACTCCTACGCTGGCCTTTGCTAAAAACGTCCTCAATCTGAGGGGTCGACCTCAGCGAACATACCCCCACTTCTTCTAACGCCATTTCTTCAAAATAGACTCACCCAGGCCGAAAACCGACTTCTGCGCATGGGCCATGAAATTTCAATCACACTGTATGTGTGCGCCTGCACGTGGTATTTTGTGGAAGAGCCACACTCACAGGGCCAAAAAGCCACATGTGTCTCGCAAGCCGCGGTTTGCCGACCACTGGTCTAGTACAATTGGCAGCATCCAAGATCCTTGTTAGAAGTCAAGAGGCATGTCATTCTCACTTTATTTGAATGGTAATATATTGAAAGAAATAAGGGGGGGAGGGGGAGAAAAAGCTTGCAAAATACAGATTCCAGTTCAAATTTTATTTGCATACAAAAATATATTATACTGAGGAAAGCATATCACTGTTTCCAACTATATATAATTAATTACAAATATTTTCATAAAAGCACTTTAAATTACATGAAAGCCATCTTTTAAGAGAAATACAATATTAGCATGAGTGGTCTGCTCTAATATGCTGCAAGCAGGTAAACAAAGTCAGTTTCACTGTCGAAATTGCTCAAGGATGAGCCCAAAGGCTAGTTTTAGGACCAGCTGGGAATGGCCTGGTGGTAGGTGTGTGCTCATCTCTAGTCCTTCTGGCAGCAAATTCTGTAGCTGATTTTACCAGGTCCTTGGAGCTTTCTGAGGCTTTTCCCTTATGATGAAAGGACCCAGAACTTCTCCTTTTCTCACATACCTGTAAATAGGATAGATAAGGTTATCCATTCACAAAAGTGTACAGTTCCTATGCTTAACCACCATCTCAGACATGCATCAAAGCAACAAACTTAATGGCAGGCTTCCCACATAATGTATGTCTGATTAACTGGTATGACTGGTCAGCCCGCTGCAATTTCCATGAAGTAGACAGGCTTGTTACATGGGTCTAATGCAACTGAGCTGTAATTACAAAAAATCCCTGTCAAAACAGGCTTTGGTCTTCTGATGTAGGATGGTACAGTGTGTAAGAAAATGGGCGATAACTCTGCAGGTAGAGAACACACAGGACCCTCCACCTAATATTTATGCCTGTCTGAAATAGTGTGAAGAACAGAGTTATTTTTAAATAACCAGCTTTGGATCCAATTTTTCAGATTTTGCCCAGCTATTTAGCAAAGCACAGCATAAATATTTTTTTTATGGAAAACCAACTCTTTCATTGAAAAAGTAAGGGGCTAGGACACAATTCTCCACACTTGTTCTGTGACTAAACAAGGCCCCCAAAGAACAGAGCTACTGAAACATTGATCTCAGAAGCTCTAGCTGTCCTCTGGCTCCTGAAATCTTGTCCTTTTGAAACAGAGTGTGCAGTTATGATCAGATATCTCCATTTTTCAACATTTTTGGTTACACTACATGGGGTATCATTGTGTAACGGTCAAATGGGAAATAAGGTATCGCATACTTAATGTAGGTCTTTTTGTAACTAGCGTGGATCTTTGGTTACAGAATCTCCCCAGCTAATTCTCTCTCAGGACCCAACCCTTTGGAAGTCAGACCTCACCACGCCCCTGGATCAAACCTGGGAATTTCCCTGGCTATGGGATGGAACCCTCTGGCTTGTCAGCATAATGCCTGCATAGCCAATCAGCTCATTTCTTCTCTGAAAAGCCTGGCAGACCATCATGATGGTAAAGCTCCAATCTTGCTCTAGTGACTATGCTACTTTTACTCTCCATTTCTCAAACAAAATACCATTGTTTGCTGGTGGCCTAGTCTCGCTGTTTGAAAAGTTGCTCGGTCTACTTTAAGGCAAGCTGATCCTCCCAATTCCTTTCTGAGCCACTAGGGTCCTGTATGGGAACCTAAAGAAGCCTTATGGTGTAACTTCCTGCCCCAGGCAAGTTGGTAAACATTACAGCACTTTATCAGAGGTGTCGGTTAGTTTTCCGTTTGATTTTTTAATACCAGGCATGTACTCACTTGCTAATGTTCTGTCAAGATCAGCAATAAAGTCTTCTAGCTCTTTCGTGTCTCCTAGTTTGGCTGAAAAACAATAGTTGGAGTTCAGTTTTCCCATATCAGAGACAGCTGATGACTCCCACCTTTTCTACTATTATTTGACCCTGTTTTGCATCTCTCTATCTTCAGAGATGTTAGTGAAGAGTGTCCTGTACCAACCCCAGTGTCTGCTCCAGAGTTTACTTACAGTCAACTCAGAACTGCATTCTGAAGAGTAGCCTAAATGTTTCTTTTATCCCCCTCCCCTACCCGCCCCCCAACAACCTGGAAGAACCACCTCCCTTCGAGGCCTTAAAAGCTTCGGGGGGGGGGGGCATAAGGAAGGGGGGTGTAAGGAGCAAGGAAGAAAGATAAAAGGTTTTCCTTTTTAGATTGTGTAGGATTTGAGTTATCAGTCAAAAATATTCAGTAAGCATCCTGCTGCACTTCTCTCTCTGACACTTTCTTGCTTGTACTGTCACCTTAGGCCCTCAGAGTCTCTCCAGTATGAAATGAATGAGGAGCCACTGGTCCTTGTCGAAGTGGTACAGGGAAGGGGACATGAGGCTTCTCTTATCCCATCCAAGTGCCAGGAAGAGGTAACGAGTCCTTCTCTTGATCTTGTTTCCTCTGTATCCTGATACATACTTTTTCTGTATATCTTACTTTTTTGTGTAGAATTCATCATTCATGCCTGCTCTGAAATGCATTACTGGATATATGTATTAATTAACCCCTGCTGGTTACAAATGGCTCTTTGTTTTTAGTTTATATAGTCAATTTGCCAGGAGGGCTCTGTTCCCCTCTTTAATTCCTACCTCTTGAGGATCAGGTAGCAGATCTGGACATGTTTTAAGCCACTTGCTAGACTGCTCTGTCTGTCTGAATTCAACAGACCTGTTACAGACGGAGGGCAGGACAATGGCGGAGTCCCTGGAGGCTGCTAATATTGCTATCCTGAGAGAGTTTTAAAATGGCTCCTTTGAAAGAGAGAATTTTGCCTTACTGCCAGAGTGAGAAAAGTGATGGGATCTTCATATTTCTCTTCAACCACGTTCTATTTTTATTGCATTCTGCAACTATTTTCAGCAAGTATAATGTTTCTTAAGGGAGAAAAAAACTCCTTTTGTTTTCAAAAGGGCCCTTGTTCACTGTAACAGAACATTCGGCTCTCTAGCTGGAGACACTTACTAGCTCCAAAAAATAAGAAGCCGCTCGGGCATCTTTAAAGCTTCCAGGGCTACTCATACCACAGCAGAGATGGGCTGGAGCTGCTATTTAGAATCGTGTCCGATCATCTCTTGTCTCATAATGATGAACCCATTTAATTGCTAAATTGGTCATGTGAAATCATTGGTTAAATAGTTAATGCAATAAAAAGACTGCTACTTTCTGCAAGGTCTAACTGCTGAGTTTTAAACTCTGGAACCCACCAGTCAGGGAGAGTGCTGTCCTCGCACGGTCTCAAGGACACCACCTGAGAGCGAGCAGAGCGCTGTGTGGTGTCTACTAGCTTTCTTTCTCCCTGTGAATTTGGGGGGGTTTTTTTGGTGACCCCATGCCACCCCCATTGTGTTATCTGATTTCACTTCCACACTGATCAAAATCCTGAAAAATAATAAATTCCACTTTACACTATACTATACTAAGAGATTAGTCATCTATTTATGTTGCTTTTGGGAAAAATTGGTTAAGGATCAGGGGGAAGAGAGAAGAGACTAAGAAGAGGAAGGGAATAAGGAAGCAAAAAAAAACCGAGCTCCAACTAATGAACTCACCTTTCCGAGGAGTGACGGCAGGAGAGAGCAGAGCCGGGGTGGAGTCTGTTGGAGAATTCAGTTTTTCATCACTGAAGCTGAAGCTGTTTCTGTAAAATGAATCTGCACCTTTCAGGAAAGAAAACATAAGTCATTAGGAATGGTCTTCAGTCTATAATCAACAGCTTATCACCAAAAGGAGCAAAAGATACAAATTTCTAGTAAACAAAATGGGTTGATTTCCAGATTTTATATGTATGCCCCCAAAATGATTTGAAACAGGAGAGTGTGCCTGTGTGTGTGTGTGTGTGTGTGTGTAATCACATGCACCAAAGGCCCTTGCTGCCCTGAAAAAGGTCAGGTGTGATGGAGTCACCACAACCACACTGGCCTCCTTGCAACACAGAGGAGCCCACTGCCCAGGTGTCTGATCAACACCAGGTTGATCTGGGATCTTAGACATAAGGAATCATCTTTTCTAAAAAATTTGTTTTCTGCCCTCTGAACCCCCTAAAATATAAACACAAGGTTGGATCCCATGACTTAATAATTTTCCCTGCCTGTTCAAGAGAGAATCTTTGTCATGATTTTCCTGAGAGCTTACACTCTGGAGTTAAGGTAGAGCAGTGATGGCAAACCTTTTGAGCTTGGCGTGTTAGCATTTTGAAAAACCCTAACTTAACTCTGGTGCCATGTCACATACAGAAATTTTCTGATATTTGCAACCATAGTAAAACAAAGATTTATATTTTTTATATTTATTTTATATATTTAAATGCCATTTAACAGAAAAATCAACCAAAAAAATGAGTTCGCGTGTCACCTCTGACACGCGTGTCATAGGTTCGCCATCACGGAGCTAGAGGGTCAACGATAAAGATTTCTCCTCCGGTAGCTTGTCTGTTACAGACACTTTGAGTGATTTCATGGTTCCCTCTATTGTCATACCCCCAAAGACCAGACCGACAGCAAGGCAAAGTCACAGAAGCAGGGCTGCATTGGAAGTCAAGGAAATTGTTCAGCTACTTGGGTGCCCTTGAGCAAGACAGTATCTGTGGGCCTCAGCTTACCCATCAATAAAATGGGAAAATGGACTAAATAATCCTTAAAGTCCTTTCCCCGTTCTCAAGTTCTGAGATTCTATTTCTCTAAATTCTGCCAAGGGAGAGGAAACGAACTCACAGCCAGCCCAGCCATGCGGCCGTGACAGAGAGGTGCTGCTGGCTGAGCTGCACCAACTCAAAGGGCTCAAAGGCAGAGCAGACAGCGGAAGCAGGATGTGGCCAACAGTCTTCCTGGTTAAAACAAAACACAAAGCCAGCCACGGCTGTAGCGGAGATGATCTGGAAATACTCTTCAGGTGAGAGAGGGAAGCCGAATCATGAGGGCCTGGCCAGGCCCCACTCCTCCATAAGAATTCTCCAATTACCTCCAGGTCAGGAGGAGGCAAACACATCCTTCTTTGGTCCCCTTAACACAGAATGAACATGGCTAAGTTACAAAAGATGTGCCCAGAATAAAAAGGGTTTTCAGAAGTAGAGGTTTCTGGTCCCAAGAGAATTTATCTTCACTCCTAAAGGCTGCTACAAGCTCTCAGGCATCTCACCTGGCTCCCTTGCCTCCCCTGCTATTCTGCAGGGGGTTGTGGGGGCGGGGGGGGGGGCCGCACCATCTTGTCTTCCTGACCCACACACCCATCTTGTCCACTTTTTCAAACTCGCCCAACCCTCAAAGTTTTCGACCTTCAAAGGTCCAGCTCACATCACCTGAAAGGACCACATCATTTTTCAGGGTTTTGATGATGAACACCTACTGAGGTCCACATGGTGAACCTCTCACATTTCCCCAAAAACATATTCCTCAGAATACTGGTCCTTTAAAAAAGAGAGAGAGAGAGAACTGTGTAATCAACTAAGTTTGGGGCGCACTGAGCATTCTTGGAGATTCCCATTGTGCATTTCCACTTGAACATCCCTGAGAAGTCTTGTGATAAAGAAAGCCCTGTTTCCCAAGTTCGCTTGATCACGGGACACTTTTCTGGGGCACCCCTGTTAACATTTCTTAGGACCCTTGTACTCAGTGGGACTCAACTTGGCAAGTGCCTTCTGTTTGCCTTGTCAGCTAGGCCCACCTCTAGCGCAGTCTGGGTTTCCTCAAGGAAAGCCTTTTCCCAGCAAACAGCGAAGTGGTTGTGTCCACTGCAGACCTACAGCAGAGTGTTACTATTTGTCACCAGCAACAGTCAGGAGAAGCCCACAAAGTTGTGGGAGAAAGACGAGGCAAGTCATAGCAGCAGGAAAACCACAGCGGGCCCTGGGGACGCGGCCTCGCGCCCAGGCTCCTGAGCCAGAAGGAACGCTAGGCCTTTGGCGCATTATCTCACCCCCATCCCTGGTCCAGAGTGCCAAGCCCAGAGACTCGCTGGCCCGGATCTCAGTGGCCACACCTCTGTTCTCTATCTCCCACAGACAGTTGGCCGCGGAGAGCCAGTTTCTCCACCACACCTTACTCCACCCCACCCTGAACCACAGGCCCATGCCAGGACTTCAGACTTCATCTCTATTCTGCTCCAATTCTCCAGCTATTTTACATCACCAGATACCCATCTTTTGGGAGGAAAACACACACACACACACACACATACACACACACACACACACATACACACACACACATACACATTAGCTCATATTCTGGCTCACTGGTACACCTTGATGCCTTCTCTTTTTCTATAACTCCTATGCACAATCTGCACCAAACTTGACTCCAGACTCCAAAATGTTCACCTATCAAAAGGAAATGAAACCCAGCATCCTTTAGCCAAAACTTCCCACAGTTTAGTCCCACCCGGTGGGATTATTCTACAAATGTTATTCATGAAAAAGATGCAAAGGACAACCTCAAGAGCCCCAAAGATATGGTGGGCCTGACAGAAGCTGCCGCCATGGAGATGTGTGGGAGAGAGGCCGTGAAGGCTGTGTGGCCTGTGCAGGTCACTTCACCTCTGAGCCTTAGTTTCTTTTGCAAAAGGGGAATAACTGAGGTGCTCCATGTATGATACCCATGGTTTTCATGATTTATTCTCAAGTTCCTGGCAAAATGGAGGATGGAACACCCAGGACAGGAAAGGTCACCAGAGAGAATAGTAAGAATCAAGATTTGGGGCCCAGGCTTCCTCTTCTTCTTCAGACAGTAGCAAAGTCCTTAGGAAAAGTTTCTCTTTAGAGGTGCCCTAGAATAAACCGCCCAAGAACAAACTACCAACACAAAAGTACCTCAAACTCTTGACCTCTCTGTACCCTTTGTCCAATAAAATTTCATATTATAGACTTTTATTAAGCACCTGCAATGAAAAACATCTCATGCTAAGCGTTGTGGTAAATTAAAAGGTAAGCAAAGCCTGGCTTCCTGTTCTTGTCATTCCCCTGGAACTCTACTCCTTGCAAAGTAATGGCCAGTTAGTCTAATGAAATGACAGCAATGTGTATTATTAATACACATTATTAATGTATTATTGCCCCACCCGGGTATCAGGTGCTATTAATAGGGGCTTGAGGGACATGTAACAGTGATAATTTGAGGAACCTTGGCAGGTGTCAAGAATAGATATTTTAAAGACTTACATCTACTTCAATCAGCTCTAAAGCCCATCTCACAAGCAACCCAAAGCCCCATAAAACATCCTTGTCAAGTCAACTTCATGTGCTGAAGCCAGGAACCTCAAATTCAGGGACCAAGTTTTGTAAGACACCGTTAGAAGAAATGTAAGCATATTAAATATACAAACATCTAACTTTAGAATCACTAACAGAGCTTGGGAAACTCGGCTGCAAAAACAGAGGCTTGTTTAAAAGGTAGATGTGCTTTTTTAGTTTAGGGGTGGGGAGAAAGGTAATTTAGGGTTAGCACCAACATGCGCTAGTCCAGCGGGAAGTAAAACCACAGACAGTGAACCTTGGCCAGAGTTCCTGTAAATATAGAACAATCCCACACGTTTAAGGCAAGCAAACTATAGTAATCAACTGAGAAAAAGAAAGCCTTGGACCTGTTTCCCTTTTGCCACAGGGAATGGGGTTGGGGGGCGAATTTCCCCTCAAAAATCTAAGTTCTGACAGCCTCCCTGAAAGTGGGGTAGAAGAAGAAAGAGCCCCTTCCTCAGTTTCACCGCTGTCGTCTCAGCTTTCCTTCTGGGATTGCTCGTGCCTCTAGACACCTCTCCAGGTGGCCTTCAGAGTGAGACCTGTGACCCACCCAGAATTCCTAACGCAGTACTAGGGCAACCAGAGGGCTCCTAACTCCCCGTTTTCCACAAGTTCCCCGGTTTGAACAAGTTCAGGTTCTAGTCTCAGTGGCTCCCATGTCTGATCAGCCAATATGCTTCCGTCATGCTGGCACTCCGGGTCCATCAGGTCCCCTCTCCCAGGGCCAAGCTGGAATAGTCTAGGCCAGTGGTTGGCAAACTGCGGCTCGCGAGCCACATGCGGCTCTTTGGCCCCTTGAGTGTGGCCACGAAGTTTCAATCGCACTGTACGTGCGCGCCCACACATGGTATTTTGTGGAAGAGCCACACTCAAGGGCCGCAGTTTGCCGACCACTGGTCTAGGCAAAGACATTCAAACATTCTAGGTATTACACATGCAAAGGAAGCCAGTTGCTTTCCCCCTAAAATGGCCCTACAATATCATAATAGCCCTAGCATACACAGTAAACTTCACACCTTAAACACATTTGGCTTAAAGTTATTTTTCAAACTACATTGTTTTCTCACTATTTTTGGAAATAGTTTTAGAAATATTGAGAAGACAATATAATTTGAAGAATAAGTTTAAACCAAAGATGTTTACATCTCCTGCAGCACGTCTGATGATCAAGTTTGAACCACACTGCCCTAGCTCCTAACTACACTGCCCGTTTACTGCTGAAGTTAAACTGCTCCCACAAAGGTGCCTGAGATTACCTGTCAGAACCCAAGTAGGAGAAATGAACAAGCCTATTTTGATCACCCCCATTTGAATGCCACCCCTAAGGTGAAGTTATCTTGCAATTGTTATTTTAGTCCTCTTCATGTCTTAGGACTCCGTAAGTGGGAACATGAAGGAGTATTTCCTTATTAAATATCCGTTATTCTTTCCTGTCTAAGTAACTTGCTTCTTTGGGTAGAAGAAGAAATGTCTATCTTTCTCTTCTGGATGCAAGTAACCTAGTGAGAAAAGGAAGGGTTCTTAGAAAAAAAAAAACCAGAAATGCACCTGGCCGGTGTGGTTCAGTGGTTGAGCATCAACCTATGAACCAGGAGGTCACGATTCAGTTCCTGGTCAGGGCACATGCCCACACTATGGGTTCTGTCCCCAGTTGGGGGTGCAGGAGGCAGCTGATCAATGATTCTCTCTCATCATTGATGTTTCCATCTCTCTCTCCCTCTCTTCCTCTCTGAAATCAATAAAAATGTACATTTTTTAAAAAGAGCAAGTATTTCTTCCTAATTATGGGCTTATGGATATTTCTAATTGCACTAATTAAACAGCATCAGTTCAACCTTACAGCCAGAGAAACTGAAGCCCACTCATCGCCCAGGGCTGACGGTGCTCAGCCTGGGCTCCACTGCCCCAGCAGACGAGCACTTGAAAGATACACCTTCACACACAACCACCACTGCTAAACAGGCACGTGATCTGGGTCCAATGGGACTTCATATCTATTCCTCAGGACTTGGCTCCCATTCCAGCCAACAATCCACCCTGAAGAGCAAGGCCTTAGGGAGAGAGAGAGCCCATGTGGTTTTGATGTTTTATCAGAAAAATACAAACAACAGTGTCTACCTTATAGAACTGTGGTAGCGATCATATGAGCTAACACATTTAAAGCACAGCAAAGAGACCACTAATAATAAGAGCTAATAAGTACTAATAGTAATCATAGTCAGGGCGTGGCAAAAGTGACCCTCTCTTATTATCTTATCTTGGTGTGTCTCCCTTTTGGTGGACTGAATTCAGCAGGTCTACCTCTCTCAAACATTCTCTTCCACAGGAAAGCATTAAACAGACAAATGATTAAAACAAATGCCTGTACGCAATTCTTGGTGGCAATTAAGATATACATATTATGCTTCCTTAAGAAATTACTATTTAGATACACACCGCTTCTGTCAAGACTAGTTCTAAGCAGTCATATGGGGGACAAACTACACATCTGTTGAAAAGACTGATGTCACTGGAGCCTTCTTTATACCCTCCCCGTTACTTCTCTAAACACCAAACTACGGTTTAGTTAAACAGTTAACAACAAAAGCAGAAAACGAAATAGACACACATACCCTAAGAACAATACAGATTATTTCACACATCCCCCCAGAACCGTTCAGAATGTGTTTAGTACCTTCTCTTTGAGGCCCCTGAAAGCAGATCCCAGCTCTGAAACCCTACCCAGAGGGAGCTGCAGTCACCCATGAATGGGCGAGCTCAGACCGTACTTCAGCCAAGTGCGGCTGTGGTTTAGAAAGGAGCTGTTCTTTGCAATAGACCAGCACTGGACGGGCTGCCCCAGCTTTCTTTCCTGTGGGGGAGAGAATTTGTTCTCAATGAATAACTTGCTCCATGCCCCAGTAGAAGGAGATGTATTTCAGTTTGGCCACAGATAGTGAGACACATTTTAAAAGTTTTTAGGCTTCCCTTTGAAATTAAATATAAGCGGTCTGGTCATTAGCCACAAAGTCCAAAAATACAAAACGGAAAATTAACAGCACACTATTCCATTCCCTTTCGCCTCAAAGCTGCAATTAGATCTAACCCTGGGGCAAGGCAGCCAAAAGAAAGTCAGCTGGAACTCGGGTTTCTGACTCAAACTCTGAAGGGTGGTGCGTGCCCTTTATCCCTTCTCAGGAGACAGCTCATGTTTAAGTCTAGGACTGAACCTTTGCCCTTTGGATCTCAAAAGGAGAGAATTACAAGGAAAGGTCATTGCTTGCACCTCCAGAGTCCAGGGCAGCAAAGAGAGTGCCATTCATGCCTGTAGCCATCTAGGGAGTGAAGTCTCGAGAATAACGCAGAATTGCTTCAAAATCACTTTGAAAAGTAGGTAATTTGAAACCGGCAAGCATGTAATACTGAAAAGTCACCCAATGTGCTGTTTGACACCTAAGCAGACATCCATAATCCTTAGAGGACATCTGGGTTCCTGAAGAAAGCTGTGTATCTTGAGGCTGTTTAGAACAGAGACCCTGGGAGTTCCCAGGAAGCATCTCCCTGTCCAGTCTGAGTGGGGAGTCAAAGCCGACACTCCCCCAGCGGCCTGCCTGAAGGGGGGGTCACTTCCTAAAACACTTGAACCCAGCAGTGCCAGGGATTCTTTCAAAACTCTCTGTAGCGGAGCAGCCAGTCGGGGAGCTCGGGGCCAAAAGAAAGTGCAAGAAGTTATTTCAAAAATTCCCAAGAGCAGCCGTTTATGAAACTTTTCTGGTTTCACAAATGTTTCAGCATTGTGCCCTCCCACGTCCCCTCCCACCCCCATTCCTGTGCCACTTGCTCCACATCCTCTGAAAAGTATTGCTGAGAGGGGAGGAGGGGGAAGGAGAGGAGGCGAGGGAACTGTGGAAAGGCTCGGGTCCCAGGAGTCCCGTCTGGCTGAGGCCGGACCAGCTGCTTCAGGAAACCCTCCAGCCCGTGGCACCTGCCGACCTCAGGGAGACCCACAGGCCCTCCAGAGCCTCCCCCGGGTTCTTGCCCCCGCTGGGCGACCGCCCCGCGACTCCACTCTCCCAGTGCCCTGGGGACTGCCCGAGCGGTAGGGTCACCTCGCTGGGCCCCACCCCTCCGATTACAGATAGGCAAACTGAGACCGCGCCCAGCGCTCCTGCACAGACGGGGTGGGAGCCTCGGGGCGCGGGGCACCTTCCTTGTGGGGCGCACTTACTCTCGGAGTCGCTGAAGCCGCTGCTGTCGCTGACGCTGGCGCTGCTCCGCCGCTTCATGCGCTCCAGGTGCTCCTCGTAGTGGAAGTGGCGCTCGTGGAAGGGCGACGCGAAGTCAGCCAGCACCGCGTCGAACTCGCACAGCGCGTCCGTCAGGTCGCCGGCGGCCGCGGAGTCCAGGGCCGGCGCTGGGGGCGGGGACGCGGGTTCAGACGCCGGGCCCCGCGGGCACCCCGTCCCGCCCGCTCCCCGGGATAACGACCATCCCTGCGCTCGCCCGGTGGCCGCACGCGGGCGCGCCGCTGCTGTTTCCTAATAGTCTGCACCCCCTGGAAGCCCGGCCTGCTATCCGGCC